GGAACTTTGTCAAAGCCCTTTTGGAAGTTGTAGACTATGTCAACTGGATCATGTTTACACACATGCTTGTCAACCTTCTCTTTTGAAGAACTCCAGAGATTTCCAAGAGGTGGGATTTCCTCTAAAAATGCAATCTTGGATCCTCCCACGTATATCATATTTATACATACATTGCAACATGCTGCTGGAGTTTCTGCAAATTGGCTTGGTGTACATACCAGGCTGGTGGGCCTGACTGCCCAGCTCTCTCTAGGACCCACTTTAAATTTGCCATTGTATTTGCCAGTCAGTTACCAGTTCAGCACAAAGCAAAAGGTTAACCACTGCCATCACTAATTCAGCTATTTCACCTTCCAGTTCCTCTACAGCATTTGGGTAATAGTTATCCAGTTCTGGCAATGAGTTACTATTCATAAGTTAGTAGTAACCCTAACATTCTCTTCAGAATGATTCTCAGATGATTCCCTCCACAAAGTAAGATTTCGGTGTGGGAATGTCTCTGGATTTCTTCCACTATGAACACTAGATGCCAAAAGTTTTCAGGTTGCTAGCAATAGCCTTATCTTGGCAGAGAATTCCTTCCATGTCTTCAGCCTTACAGACTTCTTGTTCTGATATAAAGAAAGATTTACAGTTGGTGTGGATTCTTCTGTGAAGTGCCCCTTAAACTGTTTTTCAGTCTCAGTTCTGCACTTCCACATTTAATCTGCCAGAGTTTGTGATCCCTTTTATTTTCTCTGTTTGCATAGAGACACCAGGTTTTCAAAGGATACCTTCTGCCTTTCATACCCTCTCTGACCGTGCTGCGTAGCCTCATAACCATCCCTTTGCCCTCTGCAGTTCTACTGGCCATCCTTCTTTCCAGTGATGGGACAGGTGAAACTGCTGCTCAGACACTCCACCATTCACTGCACAGGTAGCTTCATGCCTGTCATGCAGAAGTGCAAAAGAATTGCCTGGAAGTTTCAAAGAAAACCTTTCTGATTTAAGGTGGACCTAAACAAGCAGGATAAATACATGCCACGATGTTCCTGATAATCTACAGAAATTTAGGTAGGATTAAATTTTGGGACAACAGAGGACTCATAAATCTTTACAGGAAAGAAAAGTACTTTATGAGAACTAGCTTCATGAAGTGTGTAAAATAGAAAAGGTAGAAAGAAATGCAAAGAAAAGGGCTACAGTTCTGTTTAACTGCTAAGTAGAAATGGGATGCAGAAATAAACTGTTCATGTTCTTTAAGGCAATGGTACTGTGTACACACTAGCTATAAACGAGTACAGTTAGAAGAGGAACACCAAATTTAAATTTCTAACCTTCCAATACCAAAAGAAATAGTAAGCTTCCAAATGTGGTAGGCATTATTTGCATATCCCACAAACCCTTTTCTATGGTGAGCCTGTAATAAGCTCTCAGATTTCCTTGCCTAACTCCTATGTTTGGTGTTGAACCAGCACATCTTCAGCAGAGGCAGGATAGATGCATGAGCAGTCCATTGCACAGCCCCTCTCCCCCTGCCTAGAAACAGCACTTGGAAAACACATGGAGGGAAGTCTCTCATGTCTGACAAGCTACAGAGTCAAACTTCGCTCTGAAACTCAATTATTCCACAATTTTGTGATACAGGGGTTGAATATACTGACAGAAGTTACAGACCATAAGCTTCACCAGGCAGAAGAGTTACTCAGATAAACTTCTGTATTCAGTGAAAGTGAGGAAAAAGCCATTTCAGGATCTCTCTCAATCTTTGACCAAAAGAAGAAATAAAGGTACGGAGGAGACATTTAGAAAGAGATTTAAAAATATCTGAATTAAAATAAAAATAAAAATCCAATGTTTAGAGGAATCAAAGATGTATTTGAAAGACAAACATTTAAGTCATATCTTTAAATAGAAAGTAAAATAGGAGTGTATGCTGATGTTACCATGGCATAATTTGAGAAAAAAAATAAAAAGCATAGAAGGCTAATTGCTATCTACAGGACTGAATTTCTGAGACATGTAAATCCATTATAATATCATACAAGATTAAAAAAAAAGAAGATAAAAATGTGTTTAATTGCACTTCAGCTTTCACTTATGTACTATTTTAAAGACTGTATCAAACTCAAAGGCCTTCAAACTACTTCCGTCTTTCCTCCAGCCCTTACAACATTAACAGCTACTGTTGGAAAGCCACATGGAAATTAAAGAAAGCAGACAGCAAGTCTTCCACCTGTATTTATGAAATTTGAGGACAAATCTTCATGTTACAGTCATACCTGAACCTCCTGCTAAATTGAACTGTAAAGTCATTACCTTCATCTAGTTTATATTTCTCAAATTCAGTTCAACAGTATCTACATATCTGTATGAGAAGTACACACTTTTAATGACTATCTGAGAAGGGCTTTGTACGTACACCCACACAAGCACATGAATACCAGACCTTTCCAAGTGTAGCCTCCTAGTATCACTTAATCTTACAAGGCAATAAAATCATGGCAATATACTTCTGCCTGGTTATAATCCCATAAATCTTCAATGTTAAATATAGTTACTAATACTGAAAATTTTGCTTGTTTTGCTACTACATTTTATTCTTCTACCAAACCTGCGATTAGTATAGCATTCAACACTTTCATAAGAATATTAAAGAATGCATTAGCATATAAGTCTCCTTCAGAGGTGGAACACTCTTGCCAAAATAGTTCATTCTGCACTGAAACTTGACATGAAATCATGCGTCCAGTTGTGTCTAGCTGTGAGGTACAATATACTTAAAAAACAACAAAAAAGTTGCTTGCTTACAAATTCTTAAAGTTGTGACAAAAAAAAAGTCTGTTTATATACATACATATATATATGTATTTGAAATACTGATAGAAGCTTTTACTTAGGCTACATGATGTCCATAATAATTTTAAATGCTCCTGTTCAAAATTTTTAGATTTCTTACAGAGCATGCAGTGGTGTTGCATGGCATTACATTCCTCCCATCCAGGATTACAGATTGGCAATTAGCACAGAACTGACCTAACCTACTGTGCAGTAGCATAAAATCACAGAGCTTCTTGGATTGAAGGGGACCTTAAAGCTCATTAAGTCCTAACCTCCTGCCACAGGCAGGAACATCTTCCACTAGACCAGCTTGCTCCAAGTCTGCTCCAACCTGGCCTTGAACACTCCCAGGGATGGGACAGCCACAGCTTATTTGGGCAACCTGTGCCAGTGCTTCACCACCTTCATCATAAAACATTTCTTCTTTATATTTAATCTAAATCTACCTTCTTTTAGTTTAAAACTGTTACGCCATGTCCTGCTTCTACCACCCCTGCTATAAAGCCTCTCTCTGTCTTTCGTGTATCTATTAACTTTCACTAGCAGTAATAACAGCTTTGGACTGATCACCAAGAGCAAACCAGTTTCTACTTGTTTCAAAACGCAACAGAACTGAAGAAAAATTTTACTAAAGGAGATAACGCCCTGAAGAGTGTGTTCCCATAAGGGTACTGTTAAACAACCAAAGTTTTGAGAAAAAAAAGTCTCAGTCAAATGAAGTCCCACTACCTTACCTCCCACCTAGTCTTCAGTGCAGAGAATATACTGTATCTGGATGACCTTTAACGTACTTCAGTATCCTTACTGTTCTTGAACATTTCTAATATTTCCATACCTAATTTTGTGCCAGAGTTATTAATTTATATAAGACAACTTCAAATGCTCAGTTAAATCAAAACTCAGAAGCAAAATCAATGTGCTTTATGGGGCCTCCATCTCCCTGTGAAATAAACGGAAAATCTTCTCCCATTTTGCTGCTCAACCTGAAACAAGCAGCCAAGCATTTGGTGGGAAACACACTGAATATCCAATCTTCAGGTGAGACAAAAGGAGTGCTTCCATATTCCCACTTGTCAGAACCATTTGTATAGGTGCAAGCTTGCTAACACCTCTGAACTGCTGTTTTGTTATACACAGTACAGAAATTATTATTTGCACTAGGTACTTTTTTATCTCCAGTGTTCATGACATAGAGGCAGCATAACATAATAGGAATGAGGAATTAGAGTGATGGCCAGCAGGACAAGAGTGTCCACCCAAGCTGTCTGAGCTGGTTTAGGTAGAAAAAGTTGGGGTTTGAAGGATGGTAGTGAAGGCGGAAAATAGCAGTGTGGCTCCCATGGGATAAAGACAAACCATCTGCAGGTTCCAAACTTTAAATGTTTCTATCTGCATTTTTCTCTTAAGAATAGACTAAACAATTTTGCAACTGCTCCACTACTTTACAGATTCTCTTGCACACTAGATATGTGACAGGACTGTCCATACGGATACAGAAATAGACAATGTCATTATCATCCTTCTTCTTGCATGTTCATAAATAATAGAGGGCTTACTGAAAAGCAGGCATAGACTAAGCTAAGACACGTGAATATGGCTGTAGGTATGCTTTCTTTATAAGTGAACATCAAATAATATTTGCATAACGTCTTGCGTAAGAAATAAAGTGTACCATTTCCATTTTGTTCACAAAGTATGTTTGCAATGTAAAACACATCATTGTTATAGATGCTTCCCAAACCCATTCAGACATCAGTTTAAACTTACAAAAATATTTTCATTGATGAATATGTGATCAGAGTGGAAAAAAACCACAGACATGAAACTGTTGGAGATTCAGGATTTCTCTCTACCTTTTGCCAGCATGCTTGCAGCATTCCACATCTCTTACTTCCAACCTCCCTACACCTTCCATTCAACAGAAATGAGGATATTTTTGTCCACCCTAACTAAACTGGAAAAAACTAAACAAAAGACTGGATGTTTACAATGCTTCAGTATCTTTTCTTTGAAACATTCTTCAAGAAAACTGTGATATGGTTAGGTGATGGCTAACTACAATATTTTCATAGGCACTACATAAAATCAAAGAAAGTATGAAAAGGATGTGGTTTTAAATTCAATTTTTGACAGAAACAAAACTAAGATCAACTGAGCTCTTTGCCACAGATTATACTCACATCAGCATAATGCCCCTTCATATCACAGCGACTGCAGTGTTTATTCCAATAGGGTCTCTCAATACATTCCTTGAAATAGTGGCCAGGCAAAGAGCAGTTTAAGCAAAAACGTGCTGGGCAACTGTTTTGTAGATGACCTCTTTCTGCACACAGGCAACAAGCAGGAACTTTCTGTGCAGAAACAAAAAGAGAAATCTGTTACATGAGAATGTTTCAAAAGACTAATGAAAAGAAAAAAGAAAGGGGGGAAATAAAGAAGAAACCAGGCCAAATAAATGTCTAGTACTTGCAGAGGTGTTATGTTTCATCAAGAAACTGAAATGAAGGAAGTCTCTGAATCTAAGGGTCTAACCCTCTAAGAGTAAAACTCAAAGTCATAACTCCGTAGACTCCCTGTGCTTTCTTGACTTGGACCTTGCCTCAGAAGCACTTGCTAAATGTCCAGTGCTCTTGTTACTTGCTCATTGAATATAGAAAAAATTATCATTGAACCAGAAACTGTATTTCACTCAGAGCAGGAGTGTTAGGCACTTCGAATGAACACTTACTTTTTTCATTAAATTTCTTAAAAGCTGAAAACCAGAACCGTATAATATGAACATGATCAAAAGAAGCGGGACCAGCAGGTCAAAGGAAGTGATCCCGCCCCTCTATTCTGCTCTTGTGAGATCTCACCTGGAGTATTGTGTACAATTCTGGTGTCCTCAACATAAAAAGAACATGGAACTGTTGGAACAAGTCCAGAGGAGGACCATGAGGATGATCAGGGGACTGGAGCACCTCCCGTATGAAGACAGGCTGAGGAAGTTGGGGCTGTTCAGCCTGGAGAAGAGGAGGCTGCGTGGAGACCTCATAGCAGCCTTCCAGTATCTGAAGGGAGCCTAGAGGGATGCTGGGGAGGGACTCTTCATTAGGGACTGTGGTGACAGGACAAGGGGTAAAGGGTTAAAACTTAAATAGGGGAAGTTTAGATTGGATATAAGGAAGAAGTTCTTTACTGTAAGGGTGGTGAGGCACTGGAATGGGTTGCCCAGGAAGGCTGTGAATTCTCCATCCCTGGGGGTGTTCAAGGCCAGGTTGGACAAAGCCTTGGGTGGCTTTGGTGTCCCTGCCCATGGTGAGATGTCCCTGCCCATGGCAGGGGGGCTGGAACTTGATGATCTTAAGGTCCTTTCCAACCCTAACTATTCTATGATTCTATAATACGCAGTTTGTAACACAAGTACTGGACTGGTTTGTAAACATGGTCTGTTCCGTAGGTCAGTGCGCTGTGGGTAGGCTGGGGTGGGCAAGAGGCTGGTGGAGACCAAGTTGGATGGCTGATCCCAACCACCCAAAGGGACGTCTGTACAACAGAGCAATAGAACTTAGGGGAGGGAGGTTCTCCAGAGTAGCTGTTGCTCAGGGACTTGGCTGGGCATCAGCCTGCTGCTGTTGCTGTATTTTTTAACTTCACTTACTACACTGTTTTAATCTTGACCCGTGAGTTTTTCTTGCTTCTGCCCTTCCAATTCTTTCCACCAGTCCACACGGGATGTGTAAGTGAGCAGCTGGGTGGGAGCCTAGCTGTCAGCCGTGGTCAGCCCACCATAACCACTTGGCTATGTGCCTTGTGACTCACACAAATAAGCACATGGGGTGAATAATAGAAAATGGTGGAAACTACTCTGAGGCCAGACCTATATTTCTTTAAAGCCATTTTTTGCAGTGAGTGAGTGTATCTTCACTCCAAAGGCTTACACTTCAGCTGGGTAGGATGTAATCACTCAAAGTCTTCGTGTGGGTAACAGTCTCAGGGAAACAGTCTCAGGCTTTTACAGACTTTGTTGTGGGGACTGGTAAATCCAGTCTCTCATACAAGTGCCCCTACTTCTTCATAGGATAGGGACTGATTTTAAAACCTGTAGCCCCTGGACAAATTTTCTGAGTATTTGGCATCTATCTGAGCTGCTCAAAGTTATTTCCAATTTCACCTTGTCTGTCATTTTTAACATTATTCATCTCATGGTTCATCACCGAGGTACCTGCTTTCATTCATTTACTAAGGGTGATTTTTTGATTCCTTATGTTCTCCTTGTTGAAAATACATCTGAAAAACATTTTACATCTTAAAACTGGTTTCACCAGATTAAAAAAAAAAAAAAAAGTTTCTGTATTATACTTGACTCTCTTTTTGCTCCATTTATACTTACAGATTTTTTTCTTTTATAAAGGCAATGACATCCACAAAACAGACTGCTAATTTAATATAGTAAACTGATCATGTGCAAGCTATCCTTCAACTTGGAGCAAACTTCCAATGAAATAATAAACCACTGAAGCAATGCTTCTAATGGCAAGCACAAAAGCGTACTGAAAAGAACAGCTGAATCTACAAGTAATGTAAGTGTTGCATTTACCTTTGGAGTAGGGCAGTTCTTGGACAAATGGCCTGGTCTGCTGCAATTTCTGCAGGTAACATTTTTAGCAGCTGTGTAGTACCGCACAGTGGTATGCCTCACACTCCCATAGTTAGAAATCTGTGCCTGGTGAGACAATAAGAGAGAAATGTATTTATTGTTTGAGATTCTCTAGCTTAGTGTTTTTTAGAACTGGAAATTTGTAAAGGTCACTGCTGGTAGTCTTCAGTTAGAAATACAACTTCTTACAATTTACACATACAGGTTTGAACTGGATAATTCTGTCATAGAGAAAACCTTCACTGTCTTGAAGAAAAGTATTATCTTGTTCAAACTTCCACTTTGGGACATTCTTTTTTGCTCTTTAAAATCGCAGTTAGGAAGTTCTGCTTTCCCTTGATTAGCCAAGACACTTTTACTCACTATGCTGTTTCCTGATAAACTGGAGTTTTTCGCAGAATGCAAATATAACTGACATTAATTGCAAATGCAAGTTACACGTTCCCTTGCACACATAAAGGGAAACTTCTTGGACAAAGTACAATGCTATACAAGTCTAGACCAAATCTGCAATTTGCAATTGTAAAGAAAGATTTAAAAAGGAAAAAGAAGAAAAAAAGAGAAGCTGGAAACAACTCTCTCTCTCCCAGTGACCTCACACACACTTTCTGTGTTGGCAGACAGAACTGAAAATTATCTTCAACCTTTGCTGCTTACCAAACATCACAGATTTTAAAAACTGAATTAAAATTTTGGCCAAGTGAACAGGAGAGGTACAGAAATACCATTTCTCCTAAGAGAAATAATTTGTTAATGTCACCTCATTATGTAGTTTTACTGAACCTTGGAAAGAGAAAAAAAGGAGTTGGACCTTACAGCTAAAGCTTACTTGTTGTGGATGCTGTGACACCTTGCACAAATACTCCAGGTTACAGCCTAACTGTACCAATGACTGAGCCGAGCCTCTGGCAGTGCAGGGAGACTGGCCAAATACAGACAGCCCATCCTGCTGCCTATAGGAATGGGAAAGCTGCCACAAAAGAACTACAAGTATTTGAAGAAACTAGGAAGGAATAGCCTGCTTCCTTTTCACAGAGTCTGTGGAGCTGCTCTGATTTCCACATCCTCTTCCCTCTCTGCTCGTGTGCCTTCCCCAATACATGAAATTCTACGTACTGTACAAGAGCTCACGATACGCCTGCCTTTGGGAGGACACTGCTCAGGATTCCACACAGAAGCTACAAACGGATTTTTCAATCCCGTTTATCTTGCTCTCCTTATTAATAAACATAAAAATAAACAATTATGGAACAACTTGGTTGTCTGTGTTACCTCTAAGTCTTTATTACAGATGGACCAGTCCACATCATCTTCTCCTGAAAAACAGAAATAAAATGAATTATATTTCATTTATATGAAGATTTTTCTATAATATATTCAACATTATGTTTACTGAACTTACTGAAACTGACAATACCAATGTCATGTATGTACCAAAGTGGAGAAATTAATTCAATCTTCAGCTAAGGAAAGCTATCAACCTGCTTGATAACAAATCTGATTAATCTTAAAATTGGCACATTTCCAGCTATTGGGTGGACTGTATTTGACACGACCCTCTTGTCCTGCCTCTCAGGGCATAAATTCAGACAAGGATTTAATTTCTTCTGAAGCACAGACTCCAAAGCTTCCGATTGAGTTATCTTTGCCTGCACTCCTGAAGGTGCCCAGCTCAGATCCAGAGGTTACCAGAGTTGTAGCACATGGAACAGTAAGTTAACATGCAGCATAAAATAAATTCTCTTCTTGTGAATTCACAAAATCTGTGTCTTCAGCACTGCTTTCTGACCACTGCATGCCAAAATGACTATGCACAACCACAGCAACTAAGACTGTAAGCTAAGTAACTCTATTTCAGAACAGAATTTGGTAATATGCAATAAATCAGGATGACACACTAAATTATCAGGTGTCACACAACAACCTTCTCACAAATGGCCTTTGGACTCACAGAAGAAATAAAAAATCAGGAAATAAAAGGCAGTAGTGACTACTGCCTTCAGAAAGGAGATAAAAGGCAGTAGTGACTACAGATGTAGTCACAGCTGTTTAAAAATTCTGCATGTCAACACTGTTTACTTCTCTCATGTGCAAAGACAGCTGAACCACTACACCATCTTTTCCATTGTTGAGGGAGGATTCTTGTCAACAGAGGTGTTCACTTTACCTGTACTTTTATAGTAACCATTAAAACTTGTGCACATATTAATGCCATGTGTTTGCAGACTTTTTAAATGAAAATCGTTCCATCTTAAATCTGAAGCATCTACATGTTACTGACACAAATCGCATCGACAAGATTTACAAACAGTAAAAAAAGACAAAAATTTATTTGCTTTTGATTGTACTATTCATTTCCAACAAAAGACAGATGACAAGAAATGAAAATTATATCATCTGCAACATCATGTCTAACCCTTCATTTAATGGAAATGTCAATAATTTCAGCTGAAGTGTGTAATGCAGCATCTGGATACAAGGTATGTCAAGTTATATAGAAGGTATATAGAAGGTATATAGAACGGGTGCTTTACAGGATGCTACCTTTTTGCTGTTCTTCATACGAAAGTCAGGGCTAATACTATCTGCTCTAATCTGAACAGCACTCTGAAATATTTTTAGTTTCAACACTAATGCCAACAATGCCAATGACCATCACAGAGACATTAATAATAAATTAACTGGCCTATTTGTAAAGCAATTTGAATGCTGGGTCATACCTACGCTGTAATATGCATGCTAGCTCCCACAGCAAGAGCTCCAACACAAGTACCCAACATATCCTTCACCCAAGCATCATCACTCAGGGCAGAAACCACCACCAGAGCGAGAGGTTGTACCCTGCCCCCAGCGCTGGAGAATGCTTCTCCCAAGCTCAGGGTCCCCACAGAGAGGGTGGCAGGGAAGGCACCGAGCCAGCTCTCTGCAGTGGATGCATGTTGTGGGTATGACAGAGGGAAAATGATGCCTTTTGGTGTTTAGTCATTAAAAGTAAAGAAATATGCTGACATATTTGAGTGCATTATTTATTACTCAGAAGCCTGTTCAGGAAATTAATTCATAAAGAAAAATATATTTGTAATTCAAAACTCTGCCCTGGCAATCAATACTGTGAGTGGTGTGTTTCACAGAGATGCACAGGCAAGATTGTTAACAGGTTACAGATCAAAATTACCAGTGAATTAACTCCTGTTAATCATTAGGCATGTCCTTCCTTAGGACAAACCAACTAAGTTTCTCTTCTTCACAGTCAAAATCCCCTGCTTCATAAGGGAAAAGCAAGATACTCCTAATGCCAGAAAACTTGCTCAAATCAGAAAATTAATGAGATCTTTAATGATGAAATATTACGACAAGATCTTTGCTAAATCTGTTTGATCTGAAAGTTAAGCCTAATTCACAATAGATTGGATGAAGCTTTGTTTTTACTCACAATAAATTTCTCACACTGAAATATGTAGAAAGAGTTATGCTACTGCAACCAACCTGAAATCTTGCTTTGGGACAAGAAAATTCTGCAACTTTTCTCATTGATCACAGCATTTTGCCTGCTACTAAATCATTAAATAAATCACGAAACTTTGCTCAAGTTGACAAACGCCTCCCCTCCTCCCCGAAGTAGTTTGCGTATTTTGATAAATTAACTTGTCCAAGAGGCACTTCCACTCCCTGGGTGGCTGCGGGTCCTGTCTGAGCCGACTCTGGCCACTCCACCAGCCTTGTCTGCCACCCTTCACTTGTCCTCTAGCCGCAACACACACCAGCATGCTGAAGACTCCTCTGCACCATGCTCTCCGTGGTCCATAGCACCCATCACCTGTTTTCACTCCTTAATGCTCAGAGCCATGCAGGCGACAGGCCTGGGACCACAGGTCTGGAGAAGCTCTTCCTGGAGGACATGGTGGTGGCTCATCCCACAGCCCTGGGGGTGGATGTGCAGCCGTCACCTCTCACCACCTCAGGTACCCAAGGATGATGCTCTTTCACCCCACAGCCCCAGCCAGCAGCCTCAGACCCCCTCCCAAGACTGAGAGGGTGATTTAGGCCAAAGCACAAGCATTAACCACGCATGCTAATTACTGATAGTTTCCGTATTCAGAAAAGGCTGGTACAATGAAATCTGCCACCTGATGTTTACCAAGGCCAAGCCAGCCCAATGTTAAAGCACTTCACCCTTTTTTCAGATGGACACATACACAGAGGGTAGATTTCTGCCTTAAGGAAAGTGGCTATGAGTACTTTATTTTTACTCTTAAGAGAGGAGCAGTTTAAAAACTATTCAGATAATCTCAAGGCTTTCCCCTTTTTCCTATGAAGTTACACACACAAAATTTACATTACTTAAAGGGTCCTGTGAGTTTACAGTATATTAATACAATCTTCCAGAATATCTCCTTTTATTCTTCATCTCCATTTGTTAAAAGCTATATCCTTTTTAATATTGATTTCTACATATCAATGAAAAATACTATTTTGTCATATAAACTTCTTATATTTATACTTTGCAAAAATTGATTTGTGAAACTGCAGAGCATGGAAAGAAGAGGATGAAAAATATATAACATTTAGATGAAAATGGAAGCTCTGTGCATGGTTCTTCCTGTACAAAGTATCATACTTTACCTGTCCTGTGCCCCTGTACAGTGGGATAAATGGTAAGCAACAGCTTGGCTTTTATTTGAAGAAAAAATTTGAAAGATCATTGAGATTCACATGTATCCCTCCACCAGCATGAAAATGTAAATTCCCAAGCCGTGCTCATGGTGAAGCCAGATTTAGGACCAGTGTTCAATGTGCATTCAAGCCTTCTCTTTTTCATTCCAGAAAGGGAGAGGAGGGGAGGAGGGAGGACAAGGACCAGCAGTCAAAACCTAAAATTGCCCAGAGGAACAATCTGTTTCCACAGAACAAAAAACTGACTTAGAATAAACAATAAACGGTGCAGAAGATTTCCTTATCTGCTGTACCACCAGTGATCCCAGCTGCTGAGCCAGCTACCCCGGCTCGGCAGGGCACAGTTAGGCACTGTCCTTTTGATACCACCAAAACTCACTTTTATCTCACTCATCAGAGCTAGGAGAAAATATATCCCTGTTCTCCAAGCAAGTGCAGCCCCCCCCCCCCCGCAAAGGTTTGTTTTATTGCCTCAATTAACTAAAGCTGTAGAGCATGGACATTCAACTTTGAAAATAAACATTCATTTTCTAAAAGGGGAAGGGAAGTGGTCTTCCTCCTTCCTTCTAATTGAAAAATATGTCCAGTATGTATTTTATTTACTTTATGATCAACTTAGTAAAACATGCTGCTTCAAGCTGTGACAGTACAATCTGTGGCCTGAAGGGCAAATATGTTTCAAAGCTGGGCTTTAAAAATTGGATTTTGACTGCTAATTAATATAGCACATTAAGAATAGAGAAACCTAATTACATTCTACTGCAAGACCTCTGTGGCAAGTACTGTTTCAGATGTATCTTTCAACAATATTTAGCATGTCAGGACACAGCTTCTACTGCTACTGGAGTAAGGAATAACATTTTAAAATGGTAAGCCTTAAACCCCTAAAAACCATCTAGATCTGTAAGAACTTACATTGTGACATTTTATGAATATCTGTAAAATCCTGTTTATGTTTCAGCCAAACTGATTCAGGTCTTATTATAGTGTAATTTGCTGTAATGAGCTTCACCTTCTTTTGTTTTCAAGTAGCCCTTCTTCCAAAAAATGGAAGTATGAAGTTCCAGCTCCATCCCAACATGGATAATTCCCTGCAGGGGTACCAGAGCTAGGAGACACACAGCAGCCACAGCTCATGAAGCCCTTTCTGCACCACCCAGTAACTTATATTAACTCCAGTGGCGAAGGAATGGTATTTTTCTTAGACACTTCTAGGGATTTCTCACTTTGATGAGAAGTTATTTACTTAAAAAAAAAAAAAAAAGACACCTGCTGTTACAATGGATTACATGTCAATATCTCTTTAATGCAACTTTAAGAGATCCATAAACTCCCACAGAGAAACCAGTCAATGTAATCATTGACAGAGGTTGAATTTGAGAAATTTTCTCATAGCAAGGAAAGATTCTCCTGCTTTTCCCCTTGATATCATATATATATATGTGCAGTAATATGCACATTTTTTGTCAGTGGGCAAATACCTGCAATACTTTTACCTGATCCAGCATGATGTTTCTGAAAACCATCACAAAATAGGAAGGATGACAGTGAAGAAACAAGAAAGTTCAACCCATTTTTAAATGAATTTAAATGTGAGAAGTTGATCGAAGCAAAGGCAGCATTGGTCAAGAGCGTAACAGTG